GGCAATAATTACACCATTTTTTGAAAGATGGTTTGCCTTTAAAGTTTGGGTTCTTTTCGTAGATATTGAGTATTTCAGTGATTTTTTCAACGAGGTCTGTCTCTGATTCCTGTATATTATTAATATTAGTGGGAGTCGTTTCAATTTTGTTAACGTATTGTAATTTCAGATTTTCCGTTTCTTCTAGTTTCATCGTGATTTCTGCTTGTTCTAATTTGTCTACTAGTTTTCGAAAATCTAAATCGGGTTCTCGAATTGAAGAAGGATGGGATGCTCTCTTTTTTATTGCTATTTTCCTTAATTGTGGTGTTAAGGTCATCATTAAGATTTCTGTCATCTTTGTGTTTTTATAGTCATGTGTATTTAGTGAGTATGCTTTTCGAACTAGTGTTTCGATTCGTACTGCTATTTGCTTGATGGTTTCGTTTGGTAATCTGCGAATTTCATTACATAAAACTCTTTGTTGTTGTTTGTTTCTTTCGGAGTCAAACATTTTTGAAAATTCTTGTGTAAATCTTTTCCAATTTGATTTTATTTCTAGAGGTAGTACTGAAAACCATTTTTGGGCTGCGCCATCTAAGGTTGTTTGTATTAACGCTGTGCGTCGATGTATCCAATTTTGATGTAGTGGCGTATTAATTGGTTCAGGTCCAATATTTAAAATCAGGTTTGCTGTTACTGCATTTAAATAATCTTCTACAGAGTATTCAGGGTCTGTTCCTGTGAAAACCATTAAAGGTTTGTTTGATGTTATTGATGATCCACCCATAAGGTATGGATTCATTGTCATTTGTAATGATTCTGCTGCATTTGGCATTTGAGAAAAATTTGAAAGTTGGTTTCTTGTTATCTCATGTTGTTGGAGATAATATGGGAGTGGTATTTCATTTTGCATTTGTGATGCTTGATACGAGTGTGCAGTCATTGGATTTTGTTGTTGAATTGGTTGAAAAGATTGTGTATTAATTAGATTTTGTTGTTGAATTGGTTGTTGATGTTGTGCATCTATTGGTTGTGGAGAAAAATTTCTATGATTTGTACGTGTTCTCTGTATTCCTTGTCTACGATATTCTTGAGTATTTTGTGCAAATATATCTGGTTGTAAGAAATCATCATCTGAGGATAAATAATCCATTTGATAAGATGTTTGTTTTTTATTTTTATTTTGTTGAAAAAATGGGTAATTTTCACTGCGATCCTGTGGAGGATTTGGTTGAAAATTTTTGGAATTATATTGGGCCGTTGGGTTATCCCAGTTTCGAGGTTTTGTATATTGATTAAAATTTCTTTGTGGTTGATTATTTGTTTTTGATGGATGTGTATAATTATAATTATGGTCTGCAAAGTTGTTTCTAGTGAATGTTTTGCGTGTCTTTGATGGTATTGTCATGGGTCTGTATGTTTGGTAATCCATATGTGAATATTTAGGGGCAACCGAAGGTTTAACGGTTGATTGTAAGGTTACCTGTGTTTGTGAAGGATTTGTATTTCTTGGTGTTGTTAAATTTGGGCGTATTGGTGAAATACTTTGTTGTGTAGTTGTTGTGTGTACAATTTCTTCATTTATGAAGTGTGATGGTGTCTGGATATCTTGTTGAGTAAGATTCCTAGTTCCATTGAGGTTTTCATTGTGTATGACTGTAGAGTTTAAACTATTATTTTGTGTATCGGGTAAAAATGTATTATAGTTTAATGGTGTTGCATCAATTGTTAATGGTATTACTCTTACATAATCTCTTATGTAAGATATTGTACCTATTGCTTGACTTGAGATTGATTGTGGAAAGCTTATAAATGCGGGATGAGACCATTCGGGGTCCCAAACATAATCTGATTGTTCTGTGATAGCGGTATCATCGTTCGAATTTTGGGGTCTAAAATTTTTTCTTGCTTGTGCAATTAAATCAATATTGTGTGTGAAATAATCTATTATGAACCATGCCAAAATTTTTTGTAAATCGTGTTTGGTATGTTGTGAAACGTCGTCTTTCGTGAAATTTTCTTTAATGATGTTTAAATAACTAGAGAGTAGTGTGATTTCATGTCGTACTCTTAAATGTTTAGATGTTTCTGTTGGTGAGACATTTGTTATTGGGATTTCGTTTTCTAATATCGAAATATAACTATATATTATTGCGAAAACTTCATTGGTGAATATGGAGTTTGCTCTTTGTGAGTTATGATATTGGATGCTTTTTATATATTCTGAAAAAACTTTTGAAAATTCTAAATCAAGATCGTCTGTTTGAATAGTATATGTTCTATTATTATGGTTTGGGGAAGTGAATTCTATAGAGTAGATTCCATACTGTTGTGTTATGTTGCATATATCTTTTAGATAGTGATCTATGATTTGTCTTTTGATTTTTACATCGGGGAACTCTGTTTTACATGGACTAATTCCGGGTTCAAATAAATTTACGAGTAAATTTTGACAAAATATGTGTTGTCCTCTATCGGTATCTGCATCTATTATAAAAGGAAAGATTTCATCATCATCTGGAGTTTCTTCACCTGGAGTGTGCGTTGAGCTCATTTTTTCGTTCGATGACTGTTAATATGTAATTATTAATGTGTCGAATTGGTTGATTCCAATTGTATAAATGTACTGGTTTGTGTTTGTACTGCTTTTTTATTCTTCTTTTTCCTCTTTGTGATGAATTTGAAGTTGTTTCTGAGTCAGAGAAATATAATTGATCGTGTATTGGGCAATTTTTATCTATTGATTCTTTTAGTTTGTAAAGTTCGTCTAAACTGTTGGTTTCTGATTCTGAAAATGCGTTTCGATTTTTTGAAAATCTTTTTCGTGTTATTTGTCTTTGTTTAGTTATTATTTTTCTCTTTAGTGTTTGTCGTTTTGTTCGAATGTATCCAACTGTTTGTGTATGAGGTGTGATTACAAGGTCGTATTTTTTGTTTTCTATTTCACAATTGTGTAAAACGATTGTTTGTTTATTTCCTAGGTTTTTAAATGACATAAGGTTTAGAATGACGGATGCAAAGGGTTGTTAAATGATTTCTATTTTCCTAAACTGTTAGTTCTTACGATTTTTTGGTTAGCTTAACCTGGGTCTATTTGTTCAGGGTTGGAGAGAAAAGTATATCGATTCCGAAGAATGATTTTTACTTTCTCGTGACTAGTATAAGCTAAGGTGTTAACTTACTTAATCTTACTTAGGGGTAGTGATTGTGTTCAAGGGTTGGAGAATAGTAAATCGATCCACAAGGTTCAGGTATAATTAGAACGCGAGTAGTTCGTTAGATACTATTTTAAACTTACTAAGTCTAAGATTTATCCTGGGTCTGGTAAGAGGGGGGGTCAAGTGAAGGATGAATAACCGAAGTTCTTCACTGTTTATTCTAATTTGAATGATTAGTTTTGTTTAAAAAGTTCTATTAGTCTTGGGTCTTTAGAAAGGGTTGGGTAGTGAATCGACGTTTGAGGTCGTTAGACACTAATTAAGTGGGTGGGGGAGAACAAAGTTGTTCTGTTTGATCCAAGGATAAGCCTTGATGATCAAATTTAAATTTTAATTAAGTAGAAAATGATTTAAGATCCAAGGATAAGCCTTGATGATCTGGTTTTAAATTAAGTGACTTTAAGTTTTTATAAAGTTTTAAATTTGTGTAAAGGAAAGATTTAGTGTTTTGTGATGTTAGTGAGTTGATGATTGCTGTTATGTTTTAGGTGATGAAGCTGGATCAACAGGATGATTTATGATTACTAACCATTTATTGTCATGCTACTAATTTTTATTTTTATTTTCCAATAAATATTTTTCAAACATGTTTTGTATAATACTGCAGAGTTTTAGGAAAACGATCTTAGATCTTTTTATCAATCGTTATTGTATAATATTAATTTTGTTTAGCGCCTGTAATGATTTTGAAGAGTAACTTCAAGGTTTTATGTTTGCAAATGGAAATCTAAATTCATTGCAAGTAGTATTCGAAATATAAAAGTTTGTTCTGGCTTTTGCCGAACTATCATATAACTATACGGCAAGTTTCTACTTTGTCGTATGTCGTCTTTGGTTCGAGGTCTTCTTCCAATTCCGGGTAGTTCTGTTATGGTTCGGAATATTGGCTCTGATCTATTGAGTCGGAGAGACATTTCAATTAAATTATTGTCGTATAACATTTTGTAAATGTTTTTGTCTAATTTCTAATCTATTTTTGGTTAATTCTAATCTAGTAAGGTCTTGTTCGAGACTTATGGTCGCACCAGATGAGTTAGGACCGAAGTGTAACTCATAGAGTAATTTCGGATAGGGTACACCGTCTGCTCGTCACGCTATCTTATTTTCGGCCGGATAGATTCGTGCAACTTCTTAGTCTAATACCGATCCTAATCTTACTCTTATACTATCTAGTCTCAGGTTGTTTAACTAGTCTCTGCTAGGCTCAATAGATCTAGGGTATACTGGTTTATTGCGGTTGCTGAAGTGCTCGGGAGAGTCCAACTAATTTCTAAGTTAAATTTAAATCTCTCTGGTGCTGAAATTACAAGTAACTTCAGCACTTACAAATAAGTGGGTTGTTAGTTAGATGGATCATGATTGGTTAATATTAAATACTTTACATTGGTAAAACATTTAATTTATCCAATCATAAAATATAGTTTAGATCAGGTTCCACATCGTTCATAATGTCTTTAACTCGGCATAATGAAGAATCACAACTCTATTTGAGAATTTTCAGAAAAAACTTGGGCGAAAGTCTTGTACCCGTTTAAAACACCCAAAAAATGTTTTTAAAAAAATACCAGGAAAAGATTTTTAAGACAGAAGCTTATAACTTTCGTAACCTCTATGGTTTCCCATTTAAATTAAAACAATAGGCTACTTATTCCACAGACAGTGTAAACAAACGGTAAACAAAATCAACTTTCGAACTTGGAACTTCCGTATTATTTGATTTTTAAATATATTATCAGGCACTAAACTCCACTGGTTTAAACGAAAAAAAATTATATCCAGAAAAAAATAGTTGTAACTTACAGCTTGGTCTCCCCTCCCCGTCTCTCTGTTGTTGTTGCTGTTGTTGTTGGAATTAGCACCCATGTTGTTAGACACCCCGGTCGCACCACTGTTACTGTTATTAGCACCACCTCCTAGTCCCCCAGTTGAGCCTTGGGTAACTCCCCCAGGAGCTGAGGATCCCCCCATCGCATTCGGAGGATGCGACGCCGTCTGAGCCATCTCTCTCTTTTTCTTATAGACAAGAGCACAACAAAAATATCGTTGCAATTTTCTTCAAAACTTCCTTCAAATAAGAATTTTTTTTCACAATTTGGCCTTCAACCAACTCTTTGATATTGAAAATGTGCTTATCAGACGGTATAGCAAAACAGATGTGATAATGATATGCCCACTAAATGAATCTTCCTGGCAAGCTTGCGGCTTCAAGATTTCAACAGCGACGTCAAATCGACCGGTCCAAACGTTCAACGTCCGATCTTCAAATTACAATTAAAATGCGCATATAACTCAATTTCTCTGTCGACGCAAGAAAAAACAGCAGATTTGTGAAGTCTCAGTGTTCAATTGTGCACTTTTTTTTTACTCTTGTAGCTCTCGATAATGACCAGCTAAAAGCGCACAAAGCTCTCAGCAACTAAATCGAGGCCCTTTCAAATCTGAAACGAAGTAACAACATAAGTTTGGAAATCTAGCCGAGAAATGTTGAAAAACTTTCAAAACGTATTTTTCCAACAATAAATAATCCACCCCCTCTAAATTTCACACAAATAGAAAACGACAATTTGTTTAATATCTGAACAAATTTAAGATTTTCTACAGTGCTTTTTAAAATTCATACATTCCTACAGTTCATTCAGCATCTATTTTTTAAACCATTTTTTTAAAAGCTTGAAGCGAAGCAAGTTCTGAGCTTGTGGGCTTTTTTGCAAAAATTATTGTTGTATTCAATGTTTTTTTTTCAATTTTAAACTTGATACATAACTCTCTCGAACCTACCAGATCAAAAGTCGATCTGATTTACGACAGCTGTTTTTGCTTTAACTCAAATAATAAGTGTAAATAAATTTAAATTCGAATTAAGTTATGGACAAATTAGATATGAAATAGTAAGTAATACAACTCGCTAGCTTCAAAAGAACGTATAGTAGTTGATCATTAGCAAAATAGAATTGCAGCTATAACTTCTGAATGAAAACGATCGTTTTAGCACACGTCTTGAAGATTTTTTTCGTTAAACTGAAATTTGATTAGAAATATCAAAAAAGAAGGCAGAACGGCACAAAATTAATATCAAACAATCGCTAAGAGAACTGCGTAATATGGCACAATTTAACTGAAGTAAGTTCAAATCATAAATTTTTAGCAATAATTTATTCGAAATTATAAAGAAGAAAAATTAAGGTGCCCTTAAACAACCTGGATGCCACAACGCTCAGTGAAATAGCTTGTATTACAGCAAATATAACAGAAAAGCCTTATATTATTACAAATCTGAAAATCTTTCAAGCCTATTGGCTCACTTCATGGTAAATTTCCTAGTTACATAATTGAAATCTGACCAATTGGAGTTCGCTCAATTTTGCGCAAATTTGTGCCCGGAAATAGCAATGTAACTCTTATCTGCTTCTCAAAATTATTCTGGACTCTGAATTCAACACTTGCGTGCTTTAAGAATTAATTTTAAGGCCAGAGCCAGATGATTGGCACCAGAAAAAACTAACGCACAGGAAAAACGGCGCTTCGAACCACTTGCGATACAATATTTAACTACACTGTTCTCAGTAGTTGTTGTGCAATAAACGCATGATTAATGAAAACTTTCATTGAGCAGAAAAAAACGGAATTTTTTCTATAAAGCAGCAGAAATCTTTGTGGCCTGGTTCTTATTACAAATTGCCGGACCACGTGAATTGAATTTCTCCCCAACCCCCTCCCCCAACCAATTTGTATAGTTCACTTGGTTCAAAGTATTAATTTTTAGACAATCAGAAGTACATGCAGGTCTTACTTCTTGGATTTGTCAGTTAACATTAGGGGGGAGATTGGAGGAACACTGTTCACATGGGCCAGCATGCTGATTTTTGAACTCCCAATTTTTGCCCAAGCTCTGAGTTATCGCTTTTGAAGAACTCGCTGCCGAAGCTACATGCAAAAAAAAATAATTTAAAACTCCACTTGAGAACACATTCAAAAGAAACAATTTATATATGTACGAGAAAGTGCTTCTAGTTTCATTTCAAGTGAAGAATTATTTGTGAAAGAATTACAATCGGATAGTTTCAATAATGTGTTCTATCTTTTCAACATTTTACGAAGACGACAAATTATGCTTATCTTGACCTGTTTTAGTGTCATTATTTAGAGCTTAGAATGTTTTTCTTCGAACCACTGAATGTGGGTGACAACTTTGTTTACGGGTGTGTTTTAGTTTTTTCTTCTGTTTGAATTTTCACTTGTCTAATTTTGACCGAATAAAGCGAACGAATAAAAAGATGATAACTTGTTAAATTGGTCATTAAACCATACGAAAACTAGTTTTATAAATTTAATTTGGTTTTTCATTAACAAAAAAAGTTTTCTACAAAACATTTAAGAAATAGTATGCAAAAATGAGGATTTTTTGTTCTTTTTTGAAGACAACTGTTGTCCACTACGTTTTACGCGTGAATACTTTCTACGTCACACCAAAAAAAACGACCTATTTTGAAAAAAAAAAATGAGAAAACGACAAAGATTAAAAGAACAAATGTTTTGTTTTGAAAAACTTTCATTTGTAGTTTTCATGAATAAGGTCGGAAAATTCTGTGCCACTTGTTCACATTGGGTCGCTGTTTGTTCGTTAAGCGATGAGAGGATCTAAATGAAGTTCAGAAGCTCGATAAGTAATAGTAAAACTTGATTTTTAATTTTTATTCTAAAAGGCGCTAAAAAGTTATTTCATTGGATCAGAACTAAGTTTTTATTATAAAATTATTATGATTCAAGGTCGGCTCGGTTCTATAGCTGTAGCTGCATGCAGCGCTTTCTGCGCAAGCAGAGCATCTGCAATACGCTATGGACTTATCTACCGACTCGTGTTTTTTTTTTAAATTTCTGTTTGCTTTATTTTATGATCGTTTTCCGATCTTCGCTGCCACTTTAGTACGGTGGTCAAGGCGCGACGTCGCTATGATATTGGAGCGGGTTCGAATACCGCATTTGAAATTTTCTTAAGTTTTTTTAATTTTGTTTTAAATGCTTCATTCATTTGATGCATGCTCTATGCTGTAGTTCAGTTACCTGTGACACGTCTCATTATATGTTTTGTTTGAATTAAAGTGTTTGAAAGGTTATTTTTTTTTTCTCGTGGTTTCTATGATTACAAACATTACTTAAGAAGGATAGCAGAAGAGATGTACAAGACGTGACATTGTATGCAGTTCAATGATTGTGTTCCGTTTTCTAGATTCATTTTGACTATTTGAAATAATGATTGTGTTTCCGTTTTCTAGATTCATTTTGACTATTTGAAATAATGATTGTGTTTCCGTTTTCTAGATTCATTTTGACTATTTGAAATAATGAGTGGTTTTCTCAAATCTGATGGGTCTTTGCCACTGTCTTCAGCGTGTGCAAGACGCTTTCAAAGAAGCGTTATACGGCGACCTCATATACCCAAATCGACGGCCACGTGGGGAGAGAACATACATGGAATTAGTTTATCTGTACTCCATCGCCAACACAAAAAAATTCACGGTATGGGAACCGAAACGAGGTAACAAAGCACAGGTCTTCAAAACATACACTGAACATTCCGATAGGTTCCATGCATTCGGTATGCCTCACACCCGTAATGTTGTGCTGATGTTCACAACAAGGAGCAGACGTCGAGGCACTTGTTGGGACTCAGCAAACTCTTAAAACCAGGAGGTCATGTCATTGCTGTAATGCCGTGACAGGAAGGGCAATTGTACAAAGCCCACTGATCACAGACAGAGACCCTCTTCTTCCAATCGAGTTAAAGACTGTTGGAGGCAGAGCAAAAGACGCCTCATTCTCCAAGCGTCCTACAATGAATTTGACTTTGTTTCGACGACAGTTTACATAATATCTGCTCCTGTTGACACTACGTGTACTGGCTCTCTAAGAGACGGGCAGACTGGAAAAAAGGCTTGTGCTTGTGTCTCTGCAACCCCATTCCCCCCATCAACAATGCTTTTGGCTGTACAGAACTCGAAAGTGTAGATAAATACGACGTTTCCATAACGAATAATCGATCGCTCTTATGCTTTGTTCACGACACGATTCGCAAGTGGCCTTTGAGCAACGCTCTCTTAGACTCCGTTGATATGGATGACCCTGCTAGTAAGAACCTCACTGAATGGTTTATCAGGCTTCACATGTTTACAGCTTGTACTCATTGCTTTAATTTTAGGTGAGGCAAACTGTTCGATTGGTCAATACCGATCAAGGATTTAGAATCAAAGGATGGTTCAAACCTGCGGTGAATGAAAACGACGCAGTAACAGAGGAATTTGTCTTCCATGTCTATTATTTTCTCTCCAAAACGGCTATGTCCCCAGCTCAGTTCAGCTACCGATACACCCACTCGGTACAGACGTTTTCTCAAGACCTTATTCAGAAAATGTTTTGTGGGGTAACATCTTTTTAAAATTTGTTCTCAGATTCACTGACTGATGGAGTATTATTGGAAAGACAATGTCTTGAAACAAAGCTCTCTGCAATGTGCGACAATGAAACGGACAATAAGAGCAAACCTAGAGGCACTTCTCAGCTGCAATCATTTGCTTCGCCTTTACATTTTTTCGATCATGTCAGCCCACCAGCCTTATTTTTATACGTACCTGGATCAGACTTTGGCGCATCAATGTTATCGACCAAAAGGGAAATAACTGCATCACGTGGTTGAAGAATTAGCAACGCTGTTTTCTGCGTCACAAGAGTCGTTCCTACTCGCTTGAATAATTCAGGACCAAAAATGTCTTAAAAGATTCGTCTCACTGCTGCATCGGCATTGGTGTCCGGTAATGAAAGTAGCGATGGAAACATGGATCAATATCTGCTTTAGTTATAGTTATAACACTATATTTTTACTTTTGCATGATTTCTATTAAGCTTTCTACTCAATTCATGGCACTTAAACACGTGTTTACTTAGGCTCTGCTCCTAGTCACACTTACCCTAAATACTAAACAAAACAGACGTGCACTGAATCGTCAACTGTTTGATGGCACCACGGAAAACCGGACAACATTACAAGAAGATTCGCAGCATGTGCCCGAGCGCTCTCATAGCCCTGGGGAAGCAACAGATAAGAGTGATGCATGAATGAATCATGCAATAAGGAATTGAACGGCGAAAAGATGTTTCTGAGACTTCATTTACTACTTACAACAAGTTAAACGTGATTTTTAACAAGTAAAACTTGATTTTTAATTTCTATTCTAAAAGGAGCTAAAAAGTTATTTCATTGGATCAGAACTAAGTTTTTATTATAAAATTATTATGATTCAAGATCGGCTCGGTTCTATAGCTGCATGCGGCGCTTTCTGCGCAAGCAGAGCATCTGCAATACGCTATGGACTTATCTACCGACTCGTGTTTTTTTTTTTAAATTTCTGTTTGTTTTATTTTATGATCGTTTTCCGATCTTCGCTGCCACTTTAGTACGGTGGTCAA